TCCTTTATGTCTGCATCCAAGTTGGGCAAGCATTCTGCAGCGCTTTGCTGGATAGCGGCGCGACTCGCAATTTCATGAGTCAGTCCTTCATACGAACCTTGGCGCATAAGTTCGAAGGAAGCCACACCCTACGGCGGTCAAGATGGCCGCCGGTCGGACACAATAACTTCTTGATCGCTACATCGAAGCCGTGCCAGTCTATTTTGCACCTCATGCATGCGAGTCGGTTACGTTTGACATCTTGGACACGGACTTCAACATTATTTTGGGGATGCCTTGGCTCGTGAGTGCGGACCACACGGTCGACTTCCATCGGAGGACGCTTACCGTCCATGGCGCCTTTGGCGCCGAGGTGTCGTGTACCATTCCTCTTCCGCACCCTTCGATCTGGTGCCAAGTTGTGACCGCCAAGTCTTTCCGGTCGACTTGCGCTTACAGGCGGACCGACGAGATCGTCCTATGTTTTCTACGGACCGTCGCAGCGACCGAGGACTTGTCTTCAGACACCTACGTGGTGCGGTTGCTTAATGAGTTCGCCGACGTCTTCGAGTCTCCTACCGGTGTGGTGCCAGATCGGTCGATCTCCGATGAGATCATTCTTGATGCCTGTGTCGTGCCGCCGAAAGGATGCACATATCACATGAGCAAGCAAGAGCTCGCGGTTCTCCATGCGCAACTCGATGACTTGTTGGAAAAGGGGTGGATCCGCCCTAGTAGCTCACCATATGGTGCGCCGGTTCTCTTCGTAAGGAAAAAGAACAAGGTTCTTCGCTTGTGCATTGACTATCTCAAGCTCAACGCGCAAACCGTCACGAATGTGGGGCCTCTTCCTTGTATCGACGATATTCTTGAGCGTTTGGGCAGTACAAAATATTTTTCGCAATTGGACTTGAAGTCGGGCTATCATCAGATTTCGATACGCCCACAAGATTGTTACAAACCCTCATTTAAAATGCGGTATGGGCACTTTGAGTGGGTTGTCATGCCTTTTGCCCTCACCAATGTCTGACGACCCTTCAAGCGGCAATCACCATCGAGTTTCGCGCGATGCTGGACCAGTTTGTGCTTGGACGATATTCTCGTCTATAGGATCATCTCGAGCACCTTCGGCGTGTGTTGGAGATGCTCCGTTGCGCCAAGTACAAAGCCAGCCGTGACAAATGCGCGTTCGTACGTCAAGAGTTGGAATGCTTGGGCCATTTTGTCACACTGGAGGGCATTCTTCCGTAATCGGATAAGATTCAAGTCGTCCAAGATTGGCCCAAACCGAAGAATGTCACGGAAGTTCATTCGTTTCTCGGCCTCGCCGGCTACTATCAACGTTTTATTCACGGCTATTCAAAGATTGCGGCTAATTTGACCAAGCTCCAATGCGAGGATCCATCATTCGACTTCGGCAACGATGCGAGGGCTTCCTTTTCGACCCTTGAAGCCGCCTTGCTATCCGTGGAAGTTTTACGCATCTGCGACCCGCTTTTGCCGACGCGTGTCACTACCGATGCGTCCGGCTATAGCATTGGTGTCATCCTTGAGCAACACGATGGTGTGGACTAGCACCCGGTCGAGTAGTTTAGTAAGAAGGTCCCCGCCATACACTCGATTGACGACGCACGGAAGGAGTTATTGGCCTTCGTACACGTGCTTAAACCACCAGTACCCCGCTCGAGCAAAGAAAAAAGCCTTCCTGAATTCATGGAAGACCTTGGCAGGTCCGGTAGGGGCTCGGTGGAGCCTCGGCACAGGTGCGTTTCTAAAACGAACACGGACGACCACAGAGCACAGCAACAAAAAAAAAGAAAGAAAAAGAGAAAGAAAAAAAAAAAACTTTAGCAGCTTTAGCCGTTTTTCTTTTCTTTTCTTTTCTTTNAACAAAAAAAAAGAAAGAAAAAGAGAAAGAAAAAAAAAAAACTTTAGCAGCTTTAGCCGTTTTTCTTTTCTTTTCTTTTCTTTCTGTGCCCTTCCAGCAAGGCAGGGCGTATTCCATGGCGCTCACTGACAGCACGTTCACATTAGTACTTATTTTTCATTTTTTTGGTTTGTTTTTTTCCTCCAACGTAATACTTCCGAGCAGATGTCGGGGAAGGCCTGGCATGCTCACACTAGTGCTGTACAGAATGTATCTCAGCACTATCACAGCCAAATCCTTTTTTTTTTTTTTTTTTTTYTTTTYTTTTGGATTCTGCCAGCAGGGCAGAGCGTAATCCGTTCATTCTCAGGGATGGCCCTCACTGAGGGCATACTCACCCGATTGCCTCCCCGAATGTGTCTAACCGCGATCACGGCCAAATCTTTGTCTTGAATGTTTTCTTTTTTTTTTCCTTTTGTTTCCTTCCTCCTTTTACGCGTTATCGGGGATGACTTCACTCAGGGCATCAAAAAGAGGCATAAAAAAATAGGAAAAAAAAAAAAAAAGCAAAGATGAAGGGAATAAAAAATAAAATAAAAAACCTCTCATTAGAAGTACCAGTCCCTTGACATTCTAAGGACCGGTAGCCCGTTGTAGGACTGCTTTTCTCCGGCTTCCTCCTACCGCAACGAAGCGGTTCGGTAGCTCGAAAAAAAAAAGGTCCGGAGAAGTGCTTCGTAAGGTATTGGTGGTTTAAGCGGTGGTGGCACTTTCTTCTCGGTCGAAGTCAATTCCAATGGGTAACGGACAATAATCCTTTGGTCTTTTACAAGATCCAAGACACGGTGAATAGTACCATCGCACATTGGATGGCTTCCTTTGACAAGTTTGACTTCTTTCCCGATCACATTCTGGGAAAGTCAAACTGTTTTAAAAACGCCCTTTCACGACGCTCGGACCTTTGTACCGCGGTCCACTGGACTTTCGAGGTTGACAACGACTTGCGGGACAGCTTCATCCGCGGCTACCAAGTCAACCCCTAGTTTCGCGACAAGTACGCGAATTGGTCCTCTCCAAATCCGGCAGCATCGCATTATCGGATCCAAGAGGGCTATTTGTTAGTCACTCATAGGGGAAGGATCTTCTTTGTGTGCCGAGTGATCCAGACTTGTGTACGAGGCTTCTTGGCGAGTTCCACAACGCTCCCGCCACAGGATACTTTGGAGTCAATCGTACGATCAGCCGAGTTCGTGAACGCTTTTGGTGGCCCGACCTTCTTAGTGACGTCACACGCTATTGCGAGTCATGCGAGGTTTGTCGGTGTTGCAAATCCCTCAATCATTGTCCATTCGGCGAGTTGCGACCATTAGCAGTCCCCTTTGGACGACGGGAATCGATTGCCATTGACATCACCGGGCCTTTCCCCAAGCACAAGACCGTCGTGGATGAGATTCTCACAGTGGTCGATCGACTCACTAAGTTCGCCATGTTTTTGCCTGCTCGCTATCACGCCAAGGCACCGGAGTTGGCCTAGGTTCTTTACCCGGGTTGGATTCGTACCAAGGGTTACCCCAAGGAAATTGTTTGTGACCGCGACACTCAGTTCATGTCCAACTTTTGGTTGGCGGTCATCAAACGATGGGGCTCATCTCTCAAGCCGAGTTCAGCGCGCCACCCACAAACCGATGGCCAAACAGAGAGGGCGCATCAAACCGCGCATGTTCTTCTTCGCACTCTCATCTGTCCCGACCAAAAGGATTGGGTTGAGCGGCTGCCGACCGTCGACTTGGCTTACAACTCATCCATTCGCCCGGCTATGGGGTTGTCGCCCTTTTAGTTCAAGTATGGCTCACAGGTCACATCGTTGTTGGACACGATCATCCCACGAATGACCGAGAGCGACGACCACATTATTTTCATTCGACGGATGCAAGAGCTCCTTGTCAAGGCACGCGACCAGATGTCGAAGACGTAGCAATGCATGAGTCGCCAGGCCAATCGTCAACGTCTTCCTTGTCCGTTCCGCGCCGACAACCTCGTTTGGGTCTCTGCCGCGGAATTCATCCTCGAACAAGATATCTCTCGCAAGCTCCTTTCGAAATGGATGGGGCACGGGAGGCTGCTCAAGGCTGAGGTCACCATGCCCAGCCGTCCCTTGGCGCATTGTAACCCCCGCTGGTGACGCACCCAAAGGGCCATCATTTGTCATTCATGTGCCCGCCCACTTGCCCATCTACCCGTCTTTAATTGTTCAAAGTTGGCTCTTTTTGTTTCGGCGGAATGCGAAGACTTTCCTGGACGACGAGCGCAAGACCCACCCTCCATGGACGATTTTCAGGAGTTTAGCGACATCATTTTGCAGCGGTGCTACAGCACCAAGCCGACGGAGAACTGAGTGCATTTCTCTTATTGTAGCCATGAGGCTGACCGTTGCTTGACCCGTGGGGAGCTTCAGGCCACAGCCCCTGTTGTCCTCGCACGTTACTAACGCAAATAGCAAGGCAAGCCGACACCTTCGGCCCCACGCGTACTCGCGTCCAGGTTCCACCATCGGATCGTTAGCTCCGCCCTCGACCCGGCGTGACTCCATAAGGAGGGGGGGGGTATTGCATGCTGAGCCTGCACACGGGCCCCATTTTGGGGGCCCGACGGTTGCTGGGACCCCCAGGCCGCACGCCCCTCAGACGTGCACCCTGGAGGCCCACAGCCGGCCTTAGGGCCGCAGGTTTCAATTTCAGGCAGCATTATTTACTTACTTATTTGCTGTCCTATTTTTGTCTGTTCAGGCGTCGTTTTGGACTGGCAGTTCATCCGAACAGACTTTCGGTCTGTTCGGACAACGCCACGTTTTTGGCCTGGTACGGACGTAGGCAGGCCTTGTTGGGCCAGGTCCATTTTCGTCCGCTAGTGGATGCTCCCTGCTGCATCAGCAGCAAGGGCCTGCACGTCCAGTAGGGTCCCGTGCAGGCCGTTTTGATGCCAGGACCAGAGGCACACGAAGGCACACCCGCGAGGCCCAGTGCTGCTTATACCTGGGCCACGCCAGGGCAGACGCACAGTTCGAGTAGTTCACTTCTTGGGCGACACGCTGCTGGAGCAGCGCGACAGCGCTGCACTAGAGGTAGAGGTGTAGGTAGGGAGGCGGAGGCCATACCTGTGTCGGCGGAGATCTTACCTGGACGCCATAGTTGGTCTTCACGCCAGAGCCCTGGAGCACAGAGGAGACACATGGCGGCACAGGCAAGATAGCGAGGAGGACGGCATCTTCTTCGTCTACTTGCTCTCGCCCTCCATCTCTCCTTCTTTCTCCTTTCCTCTCCTCCTCCTCCTCCTCCTTCTTCTTCTTCTTCTTCTTCTTCTTCTTCTTCTTTCAGATAGAGAGGGCGAGGTTACAGGCAGAGGTTACATAGGGCCATGAGGCCCAGGATCTGATTCGACATTTTGTGGCAGACATTGATTGGACATTCGGCAGCGAGACTATTTTTGGACTTCGCTATCGCGATCTTGGTCTTCTCCCTCATCTTTATCTTTGTCCCGCCTCTCCTCCCCCCATCTCCTCATCCGTGCTAACTCCCCATGTGCGTGATCAAGGAGGGACCTTTCATCTATGTATGCGGTCCCTCCTCCCTCTCTCAGATGTGTGGTGTATGATGGGGTGTCGCGTCGGTATCAGTCAGGTCAGGTCACATCTCTTAGTCTTCCACTGCACTACATTGTGCTATTTTCATATGTATCTTGATGTATATTGCTTGTTGATGCTTTGCTGACACTGCACTGTCCATTCAAGTCCTTTTCATCACTTTGCGGATCCTTGGCTCCCCATACATCACTCGACTGAGCATTTATCTCTCAGACACAGAGAGAGACAGAGAGAGAGAGAAGAGAGAGAGAGAGAGAGAGAGAGAGAGAGAGAGAGAGAGAGAGAGAGAGAGAGAGAGAGAGAGAG